TCGCCGGAGAGTCTCGAGAAGATGATGTCGGTCATCGTGCGCGTGGCCGGTCTGTTCGGACTGATGGTATCGGAGCCGACGACGGAGATCATGTGCATGCTGCAGAAAGGGATCGAGGAACGCCCGTTCACGGTCAGCGCCGCCGGCCAGACGTACAAGCAGACAGATCGGTTTGTGTACCTCGGACGTACCATCTCCGCGGACGGGAAGGCCGACCGGGAGATCACGAGCCGCAGCTACCGAGCGTGGAAGTGCTACCGCCGGAACAGTGCTTCGATGTACGACAGGCGACGGGCCGACCGCCAGCTCAAGATCCGGCTTCTCCAGGCTGAAGTGGTGGAGACTCTCCTGTATGGGTGCGCCTCGTGGAGCCTAACAGCGGAGCACTACACGAAGCTCAATGGGACCCACCGCCAGTTCCTCACACGGTGCATCGGCTGGAGCAAGCGGAAACGCTCCGACCGCCCCCCGTCCTATGCCCAGGCCCTCATCCAGGCAGGCTGCGAGGAAACCATCGAGGCCACCGTGCGCAAACGGAGACTGTGTTTCGCGGGCTTCGTTATGCGCATGGAGGACAACCGCCTCCCCAAGCGCATGCTGTTAGGAGCGATGGCGGGGGGCGTGGGATACCGGGGCGGGCAGGAGAGCGACTGGGTGTCTCGTCTAGGACAGGACCTCGTGGCCTTCAACATGGGAGACGACGGCGGTAAATGGAAAGAGAGCGCCAAGGATCCGGAGGTGTCGTACAACAAGTTCGAGGACGGGGCGGCATGGTTTATGAGGAAATGGCACAGGCAGGAGGCGGAAGCGTCCGCGAAGCGCCAGCGCGCGAGGGAAGCAGAAGCAGAGAGTACGACCNACAGGCAGGAGGCGGAAGCATCCGCGAAGCGCCAGCGCGCGAGGGAAGCAGAAGAAGCAGAGAGTACGGCCACCTCAGGACCGAAGAGAAAGAGAACCGGCGAAGCGGCGGTGGGGGGGAAGAAACGGCGACCGGGCACTGCTGTAGAAGCGAGTAGGGCGGCCGAGGCAGCACTTGTGGCGAAGTATGTACCCGGCCGATGTTGTTGCGCCCTGTTTCCCTCCCTGCTTTATGCTATACTCCTTTGTGTGTGTCCTTTGTATTGCCTTCGGCCTCTGTGCTGTGTTTCATTTTTTTTCATGACCTTCCTGCCTACTCTGCTGTGTTGGGTACCTTGATCTCGCTTTTGCTGTTGCCGTTGTTTTTGTACGTCTGGCTGTCTGCCCACCTGCCGCCTCTTTGTCCTGTTTGCTCCGTTACTTCAATGCCCTGGTGCGTAGTGCCTGGTGCTGGTACGTTACCCTTTGGTTTTTTCTTTGGCCGGGTGTGGGAAGCGTCCTCCTTTTTTTGGTTTTTGTATTATTTTGATCGGTTTCCGAGGGCTCTTTCCTCGAACGGTCGATGCGATACCTGTTCTTTGCTTTCTATCATTTTGTTTTTCTATTTCCGAGTGGTTTGTACNCACTTCACCTTTGCCCTTGCCCGGTTAGCTCTCTCTTCTCTAAACTCGTGGGGTTGACACAGAGCCAACTTCAAGCAAACACCCAAGCCATCTCGGAGAATAGCTAATTATGCCGCATCTTAACCCCAACACACCATAAAACGCGGACAAGGTCCAAACAGCCCCTGACACGAGCCTACTTCGTACCACATTCCCCCACACTGCTTTTTGGCATACAGCAGTTGAGGCCCGCGCTTAAGAACCTCCTATTTTGAGCGAGGCTCAGTTCTTATTGGCTGCCCCAACCCGAGCACGTGTTCTTGTTGGCCATGTTCTTATTTCAACACCAATTGGCCCTGTTGGTGTACGTTGTATGACGACGTACTTTGTTGGCGGCTGTCAACTGCACTCGGCGGAGTGTTTATTGTGTTTATCATGAGGAACAATGCTGTTGTTTGGTACAAGAGAACTCCAAGGCATGCAGCAGCAACTGTCAACCATCTTGGTCCACAAGGGTGACGTTGGTCCTGCGTACCCTCCCCGATCTACTAACGCTCTCAAGCAAAACCCAGGAGCCTACCGTTGCATCCAGATCTCCGGTGTACTTGTCTAAGAGAAGCCTCATCTTGCGCGTACTCTGGTCTAGCTCCAGCTGCACACAGTAGTCGTACAGGTGGCGAGTGTCCTGCTGAGATTGCTGAATGATCAACCCTCCAAACCACCCGATCCCCAGCCCAACGAGTACTCCACGTCGCAAAAGCAATCTGTCAAGAGCAACGGGTTTAACTTCTTGAATGCGAAAGCCTGTCGGGATCTCCATTCCTTGTGTTTCGTCCTCCGGGTCTTGTGGGTCCATGCTGTCGTCATCGTCGAGAAGAGCTATTAGCTCATCGGTCTGGGTTTGAGACGTGTCTGCGAACGGGGTACCGTGAAACACCACAAGAAGTACGGTGTCACGGCCGAAACTCAACATGAACCCATCATATTTGCTCGTAGTCGTGAACGCGGAAACAGCACATCAGCAAAGCCCAAGCAAATACCAACATGGACATCGTCATCAAGAAGGAAATGACAAAGATTGGGTTTAGTGCAAATCAAACTTACCGCCGTCGTCTTCATCATCGCTGGAATCAGCGCCCTCCACGACCGTCTCACATCCATCGCCCTCCTTCCCCCGCCCCTCAGGCTCATCGCTGCCGTTCTCCAAACCTTCTTCGTCCTCGCTACAGTCTTCATCGAATGCGAAGGTGTACGGCTTGTCCAAACCCTCCAAGGTGATCCGATAATCGCCTGAGCCGTCCACAGTCATGGCCATCCCGCACTTTTCGAAAGGCGGAATCGGAACGCCTGTTGGCTGTTGAGTCTTGCCATGGCCACTCCAATCCACTGAGTGATCAGTACCCGCCTATCAGAAGCTGTCAGCGCCGCGGTTTCCCACCTCTCGAGGTTGTCCGCCTGCTCGAGTTACATGTCCATCTGCCTCCCAGCTTCCACCTTGATAAATCGTCCGGCTCCTGCATCAACTGACTGCACCTCGTCCGTGCACTGCGAAGGGCCATACCAGGCGAGAGTGTTGCACTCCTTCGCAAGATACTCCTTGAACTCGTCCGTCATCTGCGCGTGCAAGTTGTCCATGATAAGAATGGACCTCGCCTTGGGAAGCTCACCCCGTCCGCGCATCAGGCCTGCGCGGTAGGACTTCTAAGCCCACTCCATACAGAAATTTTGGTCGGCCCAAGCATTCTCCTGGAAAAACACGTCCACGTCCTTGTGGTTCGCGGCCTTCTCCACCGGCGAGATCCGATTCCTCGTGCCTCGGAGAATCACCGAAATTCGCAAGGTCTTCTCACCCGGACCAAAGATGACTTGCATGGTGCACTGCCTTTTCTCTAGGCCAGAAAAGGGCTGCGAGATGGCGACACGCTTCGCACCTCGCTCCTCTCACGTATCGAGCAGCCCGTTTACGAATGCCAAAGGCACTTGATCCACATTCCAACGCTCTCAGAGCTGGAATTGGCCAAACTTGGGAACTCTGGACTCCCTCTCTGCGACCGTCGTAATCGCCGATACGTCCGACTCATCGGGCGCCCTGTACGGTACCGGCTCTTGCAGTAGCTTGCGAAACAGTCGGTGGAAGCGCTGGATCTTTGGTGGGCGCTCCTCAACAGACTTCTTGAGGTTGGTCCGACGTCGTTTGGACAGGTTGTGCCCCTTGGCCCATTTTCGTGCCCACCTGAAGGATGCGCGGAACGCCGCCGCCCGTTGGTCCCCGGGATACGTCTCTCGCACGAGCTTCCGGAACGTGATCGTCAGCCACAGGGTCGATACCTTCAGCTTCCTCTTACGCCGCTCCACGAACATCTTGTAAAGCCTCTTTTCTGCCTCAGGAAACCACCGCTTAGGCTGCTGCTTGGCGAGGAGGCTCTCCTTCACGTCGTCTGCTGCCGCCGCGACGATGGCCTTCTCGTCCTTGGCCTACTTCACGATGTTGCTGTAGTGAACCTTGAGACGATCCACTAAGTACTGAAGAGGCGTGCGCTCCTCCTCCTTCCAGAGGTCCGCGGCGTTGTTCTCGAGGATGCGCAGCTGGTTGACAGCATTGGCTTTGAACCTTTAGTCGTATCGCCTGCGCTTGGGAGCTCCACGAGTTTCCTTGGTTTCGTGGTCCATAAAGCCGTCGCTTTCCAAGTCTAGATCGACAAAGCGCTTCCGCTGGAGGACAAACGAAGCCGCCCCCGTCGCATCATCGACCTTCACGTGCCAACAACGCCCAGGCCCGGCTTCTTCCCACGGCAGAACACGCCCTCCGAGATTCTTCCGTAACATCCGCCGCAGCCGCACGCCGTTGGACATGTTTGCACTGCTGTGCTGCGTTCTCACGTGGATCCCAAGGCCTTGTTCGTTCACGAAGGTCATGGGACAGTGAGGGCAGGATCGGCGGGACTCCGGGGCCGGAAGCGGGGAGCTGATACCGGATACGAACTCTTTCACTCCACCACGAACCCGCTCAATCTGCTCGGTGCGATGGGGAAGGGCGGAATTGCCGTGTAGGGGATTCAACGAGCCATGTGACGTGTCAGTCGCTCTTAGTTGTGACGCTGTTGAATTCAACCTTCTGTGGATGCCGCTGACAAAGGTAATTATGCACTGAACGAATACTTCCTTGAAAAGATTATCGTGAATCACACGAGAGTGTGGGGAGATGACGTCGGTTTCGTTTGGGTCACATTAGACTTATATACTGCCTATTTTCTTTTTCATTTTTTGCTCTTGCTTAGACTATCGGGAATTAAAAAACAAAACCAAAAACACACCTGTGTAGCAAAGCAAAGCAACAGTGTGCGTCGGATACATATGTGACCGAACTCACCGGTTGGCCGCTGCCAATCGAGAACGCGTTGCAGATGTTGCCGCCTAAAGTGCCTTTCGCAGCTCTCTCCCTGGCGTGCTTCCCTCGATCCACCTTCCTCCTCGCGGTACCCGCTGCAGCAGCAGGTGGGTGCTGAGAAGGTGCAGCAGCACCTCGTGCGCTGCTGGCATCTTGTTGGGATGACAAGGACAGGCGGGTGCTGCTGGTAATGCCCTGGATTTCAAGATCAACCTGCGCGATCCACTCTCCTTCGTCGAAGATACCGTTCTGCTTCAACGCCCACGCGCTCTCGATGGCGTCCCACCGCTCCTTCGCAACGGAGTTTCCCGCCTTCACGCGTGTTTTTTTCGTCTCGAAGTGACGGTCAAGAATCAGACCCCGTCCTTTCAACTCTGCAAGTTTGCCAAGACATTTCAACAACCCATGGGATAAGGGATTGGACGGGGACATGATCCCCCTGTACGGCAGGCAACTCGTGGCCCGCTGCACGTACGTGGCCTGGCAGCCGCCAAGGGGGCGCGACGTGTACAGTGCCCACCCTCTCCTCTGCAAAATTTGCAGATTCCGAGAAGTATGTATGCACCCACCTTCGGCACACCCCCCCCCCTGCCAAATCCAATTCTTGGATCACCCCCCCGCCCGTCCCCCCTCCCCGTTCGAATGCTCTTATCTCGCAGCTGCTGAATGTGCCCTTGTTCTTATCTTTAGAAGCAGTGGTACACCTCAGGCGTGCGTTCTTATTCTTCACTGCAGGTGCAATCTGAGCACGTGTTCTCACCGGCAAATTCTTAATTATTGTTATTTTTTGCACAATATTCTTAAGGGTACCCGGACAACCTCCTGCTACGTTGCCTAATTTCGAAAACAAACGCAAGAGCGCCAGAAAATGCACTAGAGACACGTAAGACCAGTCGGAAGGCATCGCAAAAAAAACAAGTCCAAAATTCTGGCACAGGGCAGCAGTAGAGACCGCTCAAAACGTGCTTTTCGCGCGTCTACCTCCACACGCATCCTTTGAAACCAAGATAAAAATCCACACTAGTCTAAATTCAAGTCAAAAGAGCCCAAACGGAAGGCGCTCAAATAAGGCCGGTGTTGCTAGGAACCTGGTCCATTACACCAATATCACTAGAGGACACCCTATAGCAGCGGGGGGGTGTGTTGGCGTGCTCAAAACTTCTTCTGTGGTGGTGGTATCGAGTGTCGTTGTAGTGGCCCACAATCTCCGCAAATCTCCGCAAGTTAGATCGACACCCAGTGTCTTGTACTGCTTGTGCTCGCCGCCACTGAACCCAATCTTCTGAACTGCAGGTTTACAGCAGTAGCTGATGCCACCAGCTACTGCTGACAACCCGCAGTTGAGGGGTTTGCGGTCCGTGGTGGTGAGCACCGCTGTGACAAGTGTTGAGTTCCGCTTGGTTCCGGCGCAGATTTCGGACCGTTTTCAGAGGCTGCTGCGACCTTCGATATTTCAGCCCCAGTAGTATACCTGAACGTGCCAGCACGCACGACGCCTCTTGATGATATCCTCTACTGATACTAGCACAACGGACCAGGTTCCTCCGGCGGGAAGGTTGTTTTCTTTCTTTGTACTGTTATAAAGTATGAGAAAAGAGCCAGCGTCAAAATCCCTTGTCTGGGTACCCTTAAGTGCGGGCCTCAACTGTTTTGGGAAATATTCTGATGTCTCCAAAAAGCAATCCAAAGACATCGTGAATTCCTCAAGAGAAACTGGCGTCCTCCAGCACTATTTCCGTACTGAAACTAGTATATTCACGACTGCAGCAGCTCTCAAACCTATGACAAATTTCTGGACACATATCCGTTTCGGACGGCATAAGGCAAAAACTCAGGAATTCAAAATGTTCTTGGTAGGATCCCGTTTACACCCAAGAGAAAGACAACTCTCAGCATTTCGTCCCCTCGGATCCAAGTACCCCCACACAAAACACCACACACGAGCTCCAAGAAAATTTTCGTCCTACTGTCTGCCGTCCAAAATTCCATTTGCCCCCGGTGCCGCGCTGCCGTGTTTTGGAAACGACAACCGGCACCAACCCCAACAAATCCCGACCCAACAACCTTTACCTGACTTGCTTATATCTGATCACGACGAATGAATGTAACTGAACGAAAGCATTTATTGTTGTCCCCGGGAAGAAAGTTACCTCGAAGAAAGGTGGCAACGAACCCCTGCGAACCCCCGTCAATCGGACATTCGACTGTTGAAATCGGCGCTACCTGACGGTGCACACGAACCCCCAAAAGGACTCCCAACAACTTAATCAATCGCTTCACTTTGTTTTTTGACTCACACCCCAGCTTTATGGAGCTATGAAATCTACCCGAGACACATACATCAATGATCCTTTGACCAATTTTCTCCCCACGGGGTTGGGTTTTCGTCGCTTGGCAACGACGTTGCAAAACAAGCCCCCCCCCCCCCCCC